TTTAAAAATATTTTTTGAAGGCGTGGATTTTTTAAAAATATTTTTTGAAGGCGTGGATTTTTTAAAAATATTTTTTGAAGGCGTGGATTTTTTAAAAATATTTTTTGAAGGCGTGGATTTTTTAAAAATATTTTTTGAAGGCGTGGATTTTTAAAAAATATTTTTTGAAGGCGTGGATTTTTTAAAAATATTTTTTGAAGGCGTGGATTTTTTAAAAATATTTTTTGAAGGCGTGGATTTTTTAAAAATATTTTTTGAAGGCGTGGATTTTTTCAAAATATTTTTTGAAGGCGTGGATTTTTTAAAAATATTTTTTGAAGGCGTGGATTTTTTAAAAATATTTTTTGAAGGCGTGGATTTTTTAAAAATATTTTTTGAAGGCGTGGATTTTTTAAAAATATTTTTTGAAGGCGTGGATTTTTTAAAAATATTTTTTGAAGGCGTGGATTTTTTAAAAATATTTTTTGAAGGCGTGGATTTTTTAAAAATATTTTTTGAAGGCGTGGATTTTTTAAAAATATTTTTTGAAGGCGTGGATTTTTTAAAAATATTTTTAAAAAATTTTAAAAATATTTTTTAAAAATATTTTTTGAAGACGTGGATTTTTTAAAAATATTTTTTGAAGGCATGTATTTTTTAAAAATATTTTTTGAAGGCGTGGATTTTTTAAAAATATTTTTTGAAGGCGTGGATTCTTTAAAAATATTTTTTGAAGGCGTGCATTTTTGAAAAATATTTTTTGAAGTTGTGGATTTTTTAAAAATATTTTTTGAAGGACCTACAGACAGCCCTGGATTTTTTAAAAATATTTTTTGAAGGACTTCTTAGAAGTCTTGGATTTTTTAAAATATTTTTTGAAGGCATGGATTTTTTTACAAATATTTTTTGAAGGCGTGGATTTTTTAAAAATATTTTTTGAAGGCGTGGATTTTTAAAAATATTTTTTGAAGGCGTGGATTTTTAAAAATATTTTTGAAGGCGTGGATTTTTTAAAAATATTTTTTGAAGGCGTGGATTTCTTAAAAATATTTTTTGATGGCGTGGATTTCTTAAAAATATTTTTTGATGGCGTGGATTTTTTAAAAATATTTTTTGAAGGCGTGGATTTTTAAAAATATTTTTTGAAAGCGTGGATTTTTAAAAATATTTTTTGAAAGCGTGGATTTTTAAAAATATTTTTTGAAAGCGTGGATTTTTAAAAATAGTTTTTGAAGGCGTGGATTTTTTAAAAATATTTTTTGAAGGCGTGGATTTTTTAAAAATATTTTTTGAAGGCGTGGATTTTTTAAAAATATCTGATGTGGGAGTTATATGTAATTAGGTAAAGCTGACTATGTGCATAGTATCCATTGGAGGACGGAAATGTCGCGCTGCTCGCATTGAAATTGAACCGATAACTTTAATTTTGTCGGATTTTCTAGTCACTCTAGATGCAATTATTATATGAAGAACATCACATATTTTTACAAGGTGAAGGGGATCTGACCAAGTACTTAGAGCGGTTTTTTGAATGATAATTTACCCATATTCTGGGGGTCAAATCATTTCATGGCGTAAAAATGCACTTCAACTCTCGACTAGCTGAGTCGATCTAGAAATGTGTGTCCATCCGTCCGCCCGTCTGTCCATTATATTTTGTGAACAAGATACAGGCCACAGTTATGGACCAATCTTTACGAAATTTTGCAGGTCGGATGGGTTCTGGCCAATGAAAGCCCCTATCGGTAAATATCGGTTAATATTTAGGGGATGAAATGGGCCAAAAACTTTATTTTTGTAAGATTTTTCTGGACATAGACCCGAGAAGTTGATAATAACTTAAATATTTACAGGTGCTTACGTAGAGGGCGGAAATATTGCGCTGATCGCTTTGAAATTTTCTATGAGTATCCAGGTATGGTCAAAGACAACGCCTATAATTTTCGGTAATGGTCAGATCGAGTCGATGTATAGGTCACAATTGAAAGCCGAACATCACAACACAACCCACGGTGAAGGAAATCTGGACAAGTAATTGGAAGTGCTATACTGAATATTATTAATATTTTTTGACCTCTAGTCGGACAAGAGTGTGCAAGCAAATATCGCGAAATGTTGCCCAAGCTCAGAACTACAACGCAGAAAGTTAGATTTTCGTGTAAGTTGTATGGGGTATCATATGGTCGGCCCCGTCCGATTATACTGCTCCGCTCACTGGTTTAAAGATATATATATATATTTTTTTTTTTAAATATTGTTTTTAAGCAGCCAATATAGGGGTGGATTTAAAAAATATTTTTTTAAGTTGCCAATACAGGCTTCTATTTTTAAAAATAATTTTTCAACCTCCACCATATTTATTAACAATACTTTCATAATTCTTCTTTAAAAATTGAAATAAATTTCTTTTTTTTCATATTTTTAATTTCTTTTTCCAGTCAATATTAAGTCTGCATGTCAATATATTTAAGTTAACTTCTATTAAAAAATACAATAACATAAAAATTCCTCTCTTATATAATATTTGCAAAAAAATCATTTTCAGCATAATAAAAAAGAATTCTCTGAAGGTTGTTTTATTGCGGTGTTTTAGAAAAAAAAAATAAATAAATTGTGCTAACATAACCTTAGCACAAATTTATGCAATGGGTGTTTGTTGACTCAGGTTGTTTATTTTATTTTTTTTTGCGTATAAATTTTGGAAAAGTATTTTTTTTTTTTTTTTGAAGACTGATCTACAGACAAACCGATGCAAAGAATAATAACTACAAATATTGGTGACTGTTCGCTGGCGTGTGCTGTGTTTATGACGGTGGTGACTGTGACGGTTTAAATGTATAAAACATTGAATATGTGTCTGGCTCTACATATAAATTAGCCCAGTTAAGGTCCAATTCTTTTGGATTTTTTTTCGCTTGCCTTCTGTTATTTTTTGTTTTTTTTGCATTATTGACCTTAGCCATGTGCTGTTTTATTTTAAGTTGGTAATTTTTATGTATGCATTCCAATTTATTTTTTTGCGGTTTAATTATTTCTTGTGTTGTTACTGTTGTTTTAGATTAGTAATATGAAAAGAGAAAAAATTAAACAAAACATCTGTAACTTTAAATATTATTAAAATTGCAAAAATTAAATATATTAAAAAATATATTTTCCCACAGACGAACATGAGCGTGAATTTTTTTAAATATTTTTTTCAGAATCATGGATTTTTATACCCTTCACCACACTGTGTTACAGGGTATTATGTCTTTGTACATATGTTTGTAACAGACAAAAGTGAACGAGATAGACACATGGCTCCTTTTGAGAATATGCATAGAATCACTTTCTGAGTCGATCTACGCATGTCCGTCCATGTATTTTTGTGAACAAAAATTGGGACAAATGCTCACTCATTTGTCCCAAGGACGAACCCTATTGAAATTGGGAAAAATCGGTTCAGATTTAGATATAGCTTCCATATATATTTTCGTCCGATTTAATGTAAATGGTGCACCAAAGTGCCTATATATCTTTCTATTTGCACGAAATTTGGCACAGCGTAATGAATTAGGACTAGAATGATGTGTGTTAAATTTCCTGAAAATCGGCTCAGATTTAGATATAGCTCCCATATATTTTCGTCCGATTTTAGGTAAATAGTGCACCAAAGTCCCTATATATCTTTCGATTTGCACGAAATTTGGAATAGCGTACTGAATTAAGCCTAGAACGATGTGTGTTAAATTTCGTGAAAATCGTTTCAGATTTAGATATAGCTCCCATATATATTTTCGTACGATTTTAGGTAAATGGTGCACCATAGTCCCTATATATCCTTTGATTTGCACGAAATTCGGCATAGCGTACTGAATTAAGTCTAGAAAGATGTGTGTAAAATTTGGTGAAAATCGGTTCAGATTTAGATATAGCTCCCATATATATTTTCATTCGATTTTAGGTAAATAGTGCACCAAAGTCTCTATATATCCTTCGATTTGCACGAAATTTGGCATAGCATACTGAATTAGGCCCAGAACGATGTGTGGTAAATTTCGTGAAAATCGGTTCAGATTTAGATATAGCTCCAAAGCACCAAAGTCCCTATATATATTTCGATTTGCATGAAATTCGGCACAGCGTAATGAATTAGGTCTAGAATGATGTGTGTTAAGTTTCCTGAAAATCGGTTCAGATTTAGATATAGCTCCCATATATATTTTCGTCGGATTTAATGTAAATGGTGCACCAGAGTCCCTATATACCTTTCGATCTGCACGAAATTTGGCACAGCGTATTGAATTAGGTCTAGAATGATGTGTGTTAAGTTTCCTGAAAATCGGTTCAGATTTAGATATAGCTCCCATATATATTTTCGTCCGATTTAAGGTCAATGGTGTACCAAAGTCCCTTAACATCTTTCAGTTTGCGCGAGATGTGGCACAGCGTAATGAAATAGGTCTAGAAGAATGTGTGTTAAGTTTCCTGAAATCGGTTCAGAGTTAGATATAGCTTCGATATCTGACCAAATGAAAATTTTAGCATCGATTGCAGAATGTCATGTTTATGGATCCAATTTCATTTTACTGGTCCTTTAAAAATGCGACATCTGTTAGGATTCATCTGTTGAATATACCCAATGTGGTGAAGGGTATCATATAGTTGGCCCGTCCGACTGGTTTAAAAATAATTTTATGAAGGCCTGAATTTTTTAAAATATTTTTGAAGGCATGGCTTTTTTAAAAATATTTATTTGATTTTTTATTAATAAATATATTTTTATGTATATATTTTTATTTAAATAAAATATTTGTTTTTCCAGCCAAGCCAAGAGATTTGCGTAATTTTTTTTAAAAGGTATGCTCCCGTAAATATTTAACCATGAAAATATCCCTTAATATTTATCATCGTCACATTTCAAATATTGACTTATCCCATTTCTCCCTTTTACCCCATTAAACCCTTTCATTTCGAGCAAATTCCCATAAAACAAAAAAATATTAAATCGAAAAAACTTGTCATAGCATTAATTTACTTACCGTTGTTAGCAAACATCTCGACTCCCGTATGGCACCGCAGTAGCCCAGGAAACTCATTAAAAACATGATGCCACCGATGGCGATTAAGACATACGCCATTTGTTCGATAACCTGAGGTTGGGTAAATTCCTATAGAATAAAACGGGGGGAAAAAGAAATAGAAGAATGATGAAAAAATGGAAATGAAAAATATTAGAAAAAATTATAAAAAAAGGTAAATAAAAAACTTGAAAAAAAATCATTAAATAATGAGGAGAAATAAGCGGAAAAATATCAGCAGCAAAAAACAACAACAACATTATAGAACAATCGGTAATGAAAATTATAGAGAGAAAAAAAGTTTCTTGGGAACTTTTCTTGTGGAGTTGAAAAAAAAATTCAAGATGTACTGAAACTTGAACTTTGACGATGTTGAGGTACGGTTATAATGACCGATGAAAATAAAACTGCAAACAATAAAGAAAAATTTAATTGCAATAAAGTAGTCACACAAACACACACACATTTTAAATAACCAAAATAAATAAGAAGTTGAAGTGATAAAAAATACTTCCAGTGATGGTGGTTAAGGAAGTGTAAAATTGAGAGGAAGTTGGAGGGAGGGGTTTGGGGGTAGGAAGTGTTTTTAATGTAGAAGGTGTGGATTTTTTAAAGAGCCTATATGAGGCCGTGGATTTTTTGAAAGAATATTTTTTCAGGGCCTGGATTTTTTAAAGAATATTTTTTCAGGGCCTATACACAGGGCGTGGATCTTTTAAAGAATATTTTTCAGGGCCTATATATAGGGCGTGCATCTTTTAAAGAATTTTTTTCAGGGTCTATATAATGCGCGGATTTTGTACACTGTGGTACAGGGTATTATACCTTTGTGCATATGTTTGTAACAGGCAAAAGGAAATGAGACAGACACATGGTTCCTCTTGAGAATATACATAGAATCACTTTCTAAGTTGATTTATGCATGTCCGTCCGTCCGTTCGTTTGTCTGTCTGTCCATGTTAAATTGTAAACAAAGTAGAGGTCGCATTTATGATTCGAATTGAAAGAAATTTGGCACCGTTCATTTATTTGACCCAAGAACGAACCCTATTGAAATTGGGAAAAATCGGTTCAGATTTAGATATAGCTTCCATATATATTTTCTTCCGATTTATAGTAAATGGTGCACAAAAGCCCTCGATATGCACGAAATTGGGCACAGCGTATTAAATTGAGCCTAGAATGAAGTGTGGTAAGTTTCGTGAAAATCGGTTTAGATTTAGATATAGGTCCCATATATATTTCCGTCCGATTTAAGGTAAATGGTGCACCAGAGTCTCTAAATATATTTCGATATGCACGAAATTTGGCACATCGCACTGGATTGAGCCTAGAATGATGTGTGCGAAGTTTCGTGAAAATTGGTCCCGATTTAGATATAGCTCCCATATATATTTTCGTCCGATTTTAGGTAAATAGTACACTACGGTCCCTATACATCCTTCGATTTGTACGAAATTTGGCACAGCGAACTGGAATGAGCCTAGAATGATGTGTGCTAAATTTCGTAGAAATCGGTTAAGATTTAGATATAGCTCCCATATATATATTTCCGTCCGATTTAATGTAAATGGTGCACCAAAGCCCCTATATATCTTTCGTTTTTCGCGAAATTTTGCACAGCCTACTGAATTAAGAGCAGAATGATGTGTGTTAAGTTTCGTGAAAATCGGTTCAGATTTAGATATAGCTCCAATATATATTTTCGTCCGATTTTAGGTAAATGGTACACCAAAGTCCCTAAATATCTTTCGATATGCACGAAATTTGGCACATCGTACTGGATTGAGCCTAGAATGATGTGTGCGAAGTTTCGTGAAAATGGGTCCCGATTTAGATATAGCTCCCATATATATTTTCGACCGATTTTAGGAAAATAGCAGACCACGGTCCCTATACATCCTTCAATATGTACGAAATTTGGCACAGCGCACAGGATTGAGCCCGTACTGATGTGTGCTATATTTTGTGAAAATCGGTTCAGATTTAGATATAGCTCCCATATATATTTTTGTCCGATTTAAGGTAAATGGTGCACCAAAGACCCTATATATTCTTCGATTTGCACGAAATTTGGCATAGCGTACTGAATTGAGTCTAGAATGATGTGTGCTAAGTTTCGTAAAGATCCATTCAGATATAACTCCCATATATATTTTCGTCCGATTTAAGTAAATGGTGCACCAAAATCCCTATATATATTTCGATTTGCAATAAATTTTGCACAGCGTACTGAATTAAGAGTAGTTTCGTGAAAATCGGTCCTAATTTAGATATAGCTCCCATACATATTTTCGTCCGACTTAATGTAAATGGTGCGCCAAAGTTCCTATATATCTTTCGATTTGAACGAAATTTGGTACAGCGTACCGAATTAAGTGTAGAATTGTGTGTGTTGAGTTTCCTGAAAATCGGTCCAGATTTACAAAAATCCGAATATATTTTTCGATTTGCACGAAATTTGACATATCGTACTGAATTGAGTCAAGAACGATGTGTGTTAAGTTTCGTGAAAATCCATTCAGATTTAGATATAGCTCCCATATATATTTTCGTCCGATTTTACATATTTCAGGGTTTATATAAGGCAAGGATTTTTTAAAAGATATTCTTTCGGGCCTATAAATAGGTGGATTTTTTTTTAAAGAATATTTATTCAGGGCCTATTTATGTCGTGGATTTTTTCAAAGAATATTTTCAGGGTCTATATAAGGCAAGGATTTTTTAAAGAATATTTTTTCAGGGCCTATATAAGGCGTGGATTTTTTTTTGGACCGTGTTTACTTCTCACATTCCCTTGTCCTCAAATCGTAATACCCTTCTCCGTCATTGTGTTACGTGTAAAAATAATTAACAATAAACAACAAACAAAGCTAATCAGTTATGGATATCTATAATAAATATATACAAAAATACTCATCAACCACACATACACTCACACATGCTATAGCACACAATATATCTAGTAGGTCACTTATCTTTCCGGGAAATTAAAAATAAAAAAACAAAACAAAGTGTCATAAACACGCAAAGCCAACAACAAAACCCCTTCTTTACACTCCCACCCAAAAAAAAGGTGTTTCAATTAATGATGTGACCGGCCAACGGCCATCAGGACACCCGCATTTCTAACATATCACGATTAAAAGGTAGATGACCGACTGTTCGAATTGAAAAATGAAAAATAAAATATTGTTTGTGTGACTACTACTCCAAAAATGAAAAGAATGATTTCGTTTTTCTTTTTTATTTTTTCTGCCATCAGTGTCAACAACAACAAATTTTCAAACTCACGCATATCGAATCGAATTTTTGTATTGAATAATAAAGCAACTTACATTGATGTGTTCGCTTTCGACCATTTTCAATAGAGCGATTAGCGATGACTTATCCACGGCTAGCCATATGCCGGTGCCCAGAACTATCGTGCCAAGGATCTGTGTGAAAAGAAAAAAAAATGAAGAAAATTGAAATCAATAATTTTGTGAGACAAACACATACATACACATATACATATTTATATAAATAAATGAAATTTTGTTTGTGAGGATATTAATTAAAAATATGTTTGGAATAGATTTTCATATTTAATATTAAAGAAAAAATCAATAATAAACATAGGGGCAGATTTTTTAAAAATATTTTTCCAAAGGCCAAACTCAGAGTGGATTAAAAAAAAATATTTTTAAAATCCAATACAGGCGAGGATTTTCTAAAAATATATTTTTTAAATCAGAAAAAAATATATATAAATAAAAATATTTTTTTTTTTCAACAATAGGCCAACATAGTCGAGGATTTTATAAAAATATTTTTCCATTTGGAATGTGCGCACGTTGTACAGGACAGGCGCAGTTCTCGCTTTGGCGGATGAACTCCAGAAGTACAAAACCGATATTATTGCCTTACAGGAAATGCGATGGAAACGGACAGGCGAAAGTAAATCAGACGATTACCCACTGTATCATAGCTGCCATGAAACGAGACGTGAATTAGGCTGCGGATTAATAGATGAGCGAATTGCTATAATCCGCATAAAAGCGAAGTTCTTTTACATCAGTCTTATTTGCGCCCATGCTCCGACCGAAGAAAAATATGAGCAGACCAAAGATATATTTTACGAGCGCCTACAAAAATATATGACATTAAAATTCTGCTAGGAGATTTTAATGCAAAAATCGAAAGGGAAAATATCATTGGCCCCACCGTCGGGAAATTCAGCCTCCATGAAGAAACATCAGACAACGGCATGAGGTTGATTGACTTCGCGGCAGCAAAAAAACATGGTAGTTAACAGCACCAGATTTAAGCATCTCGACATACACAAGGCCACATGGATCTCTCCTGATCAAGCAATGAGAAATCAAATCGATCATGTTGTGATAGACGGAAGGCATTCATCCAGGGTTTTAGACGTCCGATCGATCCGGGGATCGAATATCGATTCGGACCATTACTTTGTGACAGGCAAGGTAGGGATACGTAGTGGAGCGCAAAAGTCGACTTTTAGATGTTTGTCTCTGACCAAAAAGTCGATTTTTAGACTTTTCGATTTTTGTCTTTGACTAAAAAGTCGACTTTTCGATCTTTCGATTTTGTCATAACTGTTCAAAATCGATTTTCGACTTTTTCTGCAAAATCGACTAAAAATTTTAATTTTTTATATGAATTATTGTGAACAGATAATGTAAAGTTCCGGAAAGTGCAATTTTTGGACAATTTGAGATTTGTGATAAAAAACCAAGTATTTATGAAGAAAATCGAAAGTCGATCTTGAAAAGTCGACTTTACGATTTTCTCATAGATGAAAAGTCGACTTTTAGACTTCTCATTACAAAAAGTCGATTAATCGATTAGTCGAAAGTCGATTTACTTATCCCTAAGCCAAGGTACACCCCCGTCTTAATGTTCCAGCAAAGGTGGAATCTAATATAACACGGAAATTTGACGTCGAAAAGCTGCAAACACAACATGTAGCCGAGGCCTACTCCGCTCAACTTACCCACCTGCTTGACAAAAGCACTTCTTGTCCTGATAATAGTACAGAAGCACAATGACAAAGAATTGTCCACTCCCTACGTACTGCAGCAAAAGCAACAGTTGGGTGCCAAGAACCACCACCAAGAAACCCATGGTACGATCAGGAGTGTCGTAATGCTACTGATCTGAAAAACGCAGCGTATAGGGCAACCCTGCAGACAGTAGCAACACGTAATGCGATGGAGAATTGTCGGGAGAAAAGCAGAGAGGAGAAACGTATTTTCAGAAAAAAAGAAGAAAGAAGAAGAAAAACGTGATCGTGAGCAAATCGAGATGGACAGGAGTCAGAATGAAGTCCGGAAATTCTACCAACGAGTACAACATCAAACCGAAGGCTTTGGTGCAGGCACATCATCCTGTAGAGATGAAGAAGGAAACCTGGCGACAGATACAGACAAGCGTGCTGAGGATCTAGAAGGAGCATTTTGAAAAGCTTCCGGTATCAAATAGTGGCGGTGGATAAGATACTCCAGAACCAATAAGATATGATATATGCCACCCAGCCAAGATGAGGTCATAAAAGCAATTAATCGGCTCAAGAACAATAAAGCAGCAGGAGCCCAAAGGTTACCAGCCGAACTATTTAAGATTGGTGGTCAGATGCTGGTAAGGAGCATGTACCAGCTGATTAGTACAATTTGGCTAGAGGAATGCATACCCAATGATTGGAACCTCAGCATCCTGTGTCCCGTGCACAAAAAGGAGACAAGACCATATTTGCCAACTATAGAGGAATAAGTTTCCTTCCCATCGCATATAAAGTGTTATACAGTGTGCTGTGTGAACGATTGAAGCCAATGGTCAACGACATTTTTGGACCATACCAATGCGGCTTCAGACCTGACAAATCCACCATTGACCAGATTTTCACTCTGCGCCAAATCCTGGAAAAGACCCATGAAAAACACATCAACACATATTGACTACAAAGTCGCATTTGACAGCCCTATCCGTTTAAAGTCATGTCTGCGTTCGGCATTCCTGCAAAATTAATACGGCTATGCAGGATAACTTTAAGTGGCACAAGATCAGCAGTTAAAGTCGGAAAGGACCTATCGGAGCCCCTCAATGCCGAACGAGGATTCAGACAGGTGACAGTTTGTCGTGTGATCTTTTTAACACCCTGCTGGAAAAGGTCATACGAGACGCAAAGGTGAACAGAAATGGCACTCTGTACAGAAATGGCACGCCTACGCCGATGACATCGATATAATGGATCAAACATTGCGTGCGGTAACAGCCACCTTTGAACAAATTGAAAAGCAGTCTGCCAAAGTGGGTCTGGCAGTAAACGGCGAGAAGACAAAGCTGATGGTATCAACGCGCAAAACATCCAGTAGACTTGGACCAACTGTGGAACTTGAGAACTACAGCTTCGAGGTAGTTAAAGACTTTATATACCTTGGTACCGCCCTAAATAAAACGAATGACATCAGTTTTGAAATTTTGAAAATAGTCAGTCGTATTGAAACAAGGCTGCAGCACACTCTACAGGGCGGTGGCTAGGCCATGTTGTGAGGCAGCTCTTGGGGTGATGAGAGAATGAAAATGCGATCTGCCGGTGAACAGCTCAAAAGGCATATCAAAATGAGCCTACTGATGGTACCCGTAGAAGGGGAAGGTCACGATTTAGATAGAAAGACCAAGTAGAAAACAACATCTTGGAAAGTGGTCTTCCAAATTGGTGGACTTGCGCACAAGACCGACGCGCTTGGAAATCTTTTTTAAGCTCGGCTTATGGAACAACCGTTCTGTAACAAGCCAGCTAAGTAAGTAAGTAAGAACGGGATTGAGCTAAAGAATATGCTTGCCTGTTTTGATAAATATCGGTCAATATTTTCGGGTCAAATGGACCCTGACTTTTGTGTGAAAATTACAAAATTTGTATTCTATGGCGTATATATTTGCCTCTGAAGGGCATAGACCGGAGAAATAGATAATATATCTAAGAGGAGTGGTTGGCCTTTAAATTGATACCAATTATATTGTCGTATGTACTCGGATGTGGGAGTTACACATAAATATTTATAGGTGCTTACGTACTCATATTATTTAGTAACCCATTACCACACTAGAGGGCAAAAATATAGCCCTGGTTGCTAGGAATGAGGATCCAGGCATGGTCAGGGACAATGCCTATAATTTTCGGTGATGATCAGATCAGGACTGAAGTGCAAGCAAAACTTAATTTTTTTGTGTTTTTTCGAGTCGACCTATAGACTACAATTGAAAGCCGAACATCACAATACAACCTACGGTGAAGGGAATCTGGTAATCACTTGTCCAGAAGGGCTGTAGTGAATATTTTAGTAATAATTATTGACCTCTGGTCGGTCAAGAGGGTGCAAATATCGCGAAATATTGACCAAGCTCAGAATATAGAACCACACAAAGTTAGGGTATCATATGGTCGGCCCGTCGGACTTTACTGCTCCGCTCACTGGTTTTTTAAATATTTTTTCTAATTTTTTTTTTTAATATCTTTTATCCATAAAATATAAATAACAATAATTTGTTGTTGTACTTACAAAAAACAAAAAATTAAATATGCACAGCACATATTTGCCAAACCAAACGCCGCAATCGGAACCCATTTTTGTTGTTTGAATTGTTGTTGTGATAGCTGCCCGCAGTTGTTGTTGTAGTGTATTGAACGTAACCCCGTAGATTTATTGAATTCACTTGACTTGCCTTAGTTGGGGGGTGAGAGGTGGGGCTATTGGAAATTTTGTTGCAATATACCGGACTTGGTGGATCGCCTCAATAGTTGTAATTCAAATGATGATTACGTTACGTTACGCTTTTTTATGGTGATATCTGTAAGACAAAAAGTTATGAAAAGAAAGAAAGAGAGAAGAAGAAGAAAAAGTTAATTGATTGAATGAATGAATGCATAAACAAATAAATAAATGTTTTGTATTTATTGGAATTGTTTAATTTCAATTTTACATTGAGGTTTTGTTTTTTTTTCGATTTTTTTTTTCTGTAACGAAAATAGAAATCGCCGTTTTGTCATTGGAATTTTAATGAGTTTTCAAATCGAAAAAAATCAAAAATCAACTTGATAAAGGGGGGTGCCTACTGCATGTTGTGTTTTGCATAAGACCCAGTTGCAGTTTAGAGAAATTTCCAATATTGAAATAATAATCGGACAAACAAAAAAAAAAAAAAATGAAAATAATAAATAATTTTGAAATTTCATAGTGATAACAATCGGGTATGTGTGTGGCTAGAATTTGAATTTTGTTGGCGAAATCTCTATTCAAAATGTGATTGAAATTTGTAGGAGGGATGTGGATTTTTTTTTCAAAGACCATCGTAGGCGTGGGTTTTAAATGTCCACAAAAGGCGTGAATTTTCAAAGTCCACAAAAGGCGTGGAGTTTTAAAAAAATGTCCACAGAAGGCGTGAATTTTCAAAGTCCACAAAATGCGTGGAGTTTTAAAAAAAATGTCCACAGAAGGCGTGGATTTTAAAAAAAGTCCACAAAAGGCATAGATTTTTAAAGTCCACAAAGGCGTGGATTTTTAAAGTCCACAAAAGGCATAGATTTTTAAAGTCCACAAAGGCGTGGATTTTTAAAGTCCACAAAAGGCGTAGATTTTATTTAAAAACATTTTTTTAAACACAAAAGGCTTTGATTTTTTAAAAATATTTTTTAAACACAAAAGGTTTGGACAACTATGTTGTCAGTAACGCCGCGAAATATTGGTCCCACCTTTATCGCCATATATCGACTAGCTGAGTCGATCTATACATGTGTGTCCGTCCGTCTGTACATTATAATTTGCACACACGATACAGGCCACAGTTATGGACCAATTTTCATGAAATTGCATGTAGGATGGGTTCTGGCTAAAGAAGACCCCTATTGTTTTTGGTAAAAATCGATTAATATTTAGGGGTTGAAATTTTGGTTTTTCTGATTGCTCCAGAGGCCGCAATTATGTCGCAAACATTTCGGATTTTTACATG